TGCAGATATTTGTGAAGCTGAAACTGGTACTTTTTTTAGAGTGAATTTATAACGAAGATTAATGTAGAAATTTATTCTAGAATCTGAGAATTTATATCTTTCGATTTATTTTAGGACAGTGTATCTGTGAACATAATACGGCTGGTAGCAATTGTGAATTATGTAAACGTGGATATTACGGTCACCCATTAAAGGGTACACCTGATGACTGTAAACCATGTCCTTGTCCTGACAATGGGCCTTGTATATTACTTGGCAATAATCCTGATCCAATTTGTTCTGAATGTCCACTGGGTAGAACAGGTAAGAATAATAATCTCTTTAAAGGAAATAGCGTTTCGTTCAACAGGCCCTTGCCTTAGACACAGGGATAGAAGAAGTCGTATTGAAAAACGTATTTATCGGAAACTTGTCAGAACAACCGATTGCGAGAAAGCATTAGCGTCAGTGGACCTCTAGTGGCAAACGTATGGAGTAGTCCTACAATGTCTTTAAATAGTTTTATTATTTATATCATTTTTTGTTTTAGGACCTAGATGTGAAACATGTTCGGATGGATACTTCGGAAATCCTGAAAAGGGTATAGCTTGCAGGCCTTGCGATTGTAACAACAATATCGACCTGAACGCTGTAAGAAATTGCAATCACGAAACTGGTGAATGTTTGAAATGTGTAAATAATACAGCTGGTTTCCATTGTGAAGAATGTCTTTCAGGTAAGTAAAATGTAACTGTTATATATTTCACGTACTTTTTTGAAATTATAAATAACGATGTTTATAACATTTAACAGGATATTACGGAGACGCATTGTCTGATCGTAAAGAAGATGGATGTAAACTATGCCAATGTTTCCCGCCAGGCACAGTCGAACTCAGCGATGGTAGAGTAGCACCTTGTGAACAATTAACAGGTCATTGTACTTGCAAGCCTCATGTAACCGGCCGAAATTGTGATAAATGTGAAGAAGGATATTATCATATTCTAAGTGGAGAGGTATTTCAATCGGCTAATCGTTTCGTAATGTATGATAATTACTGTTCGCCTAAGTTAAATAATCACATATTTTTTAGGGATGTACGCCTTGCAATTGCGATGCTGAAGGATCTTACAATCGTACCTGCAATGCCGTTACTGGTCAATGTGAATGTAGACCTGGTATTACTGGACAACATTGTGATGCATGTGTTTCTTATCAATATGGATTCAGTAGAGAAGGATGCAAGCCTTGTGATTGTGATAATATCGGTTCTCAAGACCTGCAATGTGACGCTAGTGGACAATGTCCAGTAAGTTTATAAAATGTTACACTATACAATGGATGCATAATTATAATTTGTATGTATAAATCACGTTTATTAGAATAATTAATCCTGTATTATAGTGCTTCCCCAATGTAGAAGGAAGACGCTGTGATCGTTGTAAAGAGAACAAACATAACAGACAAAATGGATGCGTCGATTGTCCTGATTGTTACAATCTTGTTCAAGCTGCGGTGAATAGCCATAGAGAACGCTTAGCCGAATTAGGAAATACACTCAAAAAGATTAACAGCAGTCCGACAGTTATAAAAGATTCGGACTTTGAAAAAGAATTGAAAAATGTTCAGAATAAAGTAAAGAATCTTCTACAAATTGCCAAACAAGGATCTGGTAGTAAGTATAAGTTATTCAATAATTCATACTTTTTAAATGAGACTATATTTAAAAAATATTTTAGATGAAAATAAAACGTTGGTGGAACAACTTGATGAATTACGTGATCAGCTGAATGAAATTGAAGAAATCGCACAAACTGTGAACCTGACTGCTTTTGATGCACATAGAACTACTTTGGAAGGTTTAATGAACATTGATGAAGCAGAAAAAGTGCTTGATAAAATACATGCTCAATTAACCGTAAGAATAATATTGATATGATATTATATGAAACTTATAAAATTGAATGTTCAACTCAGATATTAAATTTTAGGATACAGAAGATTATTTAGCCACAGATGGAGCAACTGCATTATCAAAAGCGAAATCACGTGCGGATCAAGTTGGTCAACAGAATATACAAATGACTTCAATCGCGCAAGACGCGCGTCTCTTTGCCGAATTGTAAGTAATATAATTTTATAAACCTTTAATATTTCTTCATAATCAATATTGCCCGAACTTCACAGAAATGTTAATGAAGCGAAAAAGATTCATGCACTGGCAGAACAGGCACGAAATACAACAATGGAAGCTTATAGTCTCGCAAAAAAAACTATAGCAAAATATTCTAACATGACGTATGTACTTATTTACTTTATCTTAGAATATTGGTAATAACGTAATTATTACTAATATCTATACCAATGGTTTTTGAAATCATCTTATCTGTATTGTATTTCTTCTAAAAATTTATTTTGTATTTAGTGATGATATTAGAGGATTAGAAAATAAATTAGAGTTACTAGAGCATCGTATGAGCGAGGTGAAAAATCTTACCAGCATAGCAGCCACTAAATCATCCGCAGTTTCGCAAGAAGCAATAGATTTATTGATTCTCGACTTAGCACTTCCACCTGTTGACATCGAGCAATTGAGAAATCAAGTTGAAGACGTAAATAATGAGGTAAATTTAAACTATGACAACTATTATTGTTACCGAAAATAATTTAAATATTGATGATAAAATACATTACAGGGATTACGATTGAAAGAACAAGCACAATTGTTGTTAGATCAAAACGAAAATCTTATAAATGAAATGGTAGAGAAAATAAGAAAGAGTGAGGAGTTAATAGAGTCAGTACAAGATCAGCAAGCGGCTACTGCCGAACTTGTAGCCGAATTAGATAAAGCAAATGAAAAAGTAGATGATGCTGTCAAACGAGGAGATCAGACTTTAAAAGAAGCTCAGGAAACATTACAGAAATTGGGTGGTACATATCATATCAAGTATTTTTATTAATGATAATATTTTTTCTTTAAAGGGGGAGAAATAGATGTCTTTTTCAATTATAATATTATTTTTAGAATTTCATGCTGAAGTAGAAAAAGAGCGCGTTAAAGCCCAAGATGCTTTAAAAGATATAAAAAATATTGAATCATTAATCATGGATGCCAAGGAGAAAGCTTCACAAGCTGAAAAAATATTAGATGGTTCTGAATATAAAGCCGAAAGTGCACGTGAGATAGCACAAGATGCTCAGGTTAGTACAGTTAATCCCATATGTAATATATAATATAATTTATTATACGCTGAAAACGAAATATGTTTATATTAGATGCATGCAGAGGAAGCTAGTGAAAAAGCGAACACTATTAGAACAGAAGCAAATAAAACTAAAATAGAAGCACTTCGTGTAGGAAACGAAGCTGAAAAATTACATCAAAGAGTTGATATTACAGATTCCATGATGAAGGAATACGAGAAACGAAGTGGGCAAGATACAAATATTACAACCGAAGTAAGGAATTAGTTGCACGTATCACTTATTGTAATAACTATACTATACGATAATATAATTACAATGTTATTCAATCATTTTTAGGCAAATCATAAAGTTAGTCTAGCTAAGATTAATGTAACGTTAGCATCGCAACAACTCGATAAAGCTCTAACCGAAGTAGCTGAAATAATAAAAGAACTTGAAAATTTACCGGAAATTGGTAAGTTATTGTTTTGTATCAAATTTTTTAAATTTATCTGTACCTTTTTTAGATTAAATTCATTATTTAAAATATCACATTTTAGTATCTATAATTTGAATTTCTTTATTTTAGATAACACTGATTTAAATCCGTTAGAAGAACGTTTAGCTGCAGCTGAAAAGGAAATTGTAGCTGCAAGTCTAGATCAAAGAATTCGTAATTTAACGGATGCAAAAAATTTGCAAACACAGTGGGTAAAGAATTATGAAGATGAGGTCAGTAGACTAAGAATGGAAGTTGAGAACATTGATGATATAAGAAAAGTTTTGCCTGCCATCTGTAACAATCGTGTACGACTCGAACCCTAAACTACAATATAAAGTTATACTTAAAAGTTTATTTCATAGCGTTAGAGGTGCCTTACATGCACTAAAGGAAAAAATAAGCATAAAAATATGTTCAAAATAATAGCTGCAAAATTAGTTATATATCCTTCTGAAATAAGAATGTATGCTATACATTATAACTATCTTAAAAAATTATAAATCATATTTTGATTACAGACCTATGATAAAATTAATATTATACTAGTGAATCGTCACAGAAGCAGCATGATATTTGTGTATTTACACTTAAATCATTTTATTTAACACGTCATTTATAATGTGATCTTGCATTTCTTCTTGAAAATTAATACCATGTGCTTATATATACGAGCGACTAAAATAATGATCATCATACCAAAGATTTCATATAGTAGACATATCTTTCCGTTATCATTACCAGGCCATTTACATTATTCAATTTATTCAACATTTTTGTAATACGACTTATTTGTACGTATGTACAAACATGTATATAGTATCTATATACAATCATTTCATTGTAATTGCCATACTTTTTAGTCTCCTGCTAAGTCCTAAGAAAGCTTCAAAAGTTCCTCCGAAAGAAGGCAATTGTTTTAATTTCTAATATACAAAATTGAATGTAATACATTGTATAACTTGTTTATGAAATATTAAAGATTGGGAAAACATTTTTAAAATCGAAAGGAAAACGGAAATTCAAATGTATTTTATAATATGTATCATCATGCAGCATTTTATATGTGTATAACATTTTTATAAAAATATTGATACATATTTAATATGAATACAAAATAAACAATATGTTGGAGAGTATGTAATATGATGTTATTAATTATTAACCAAATATTAATATATCAAGATTAATATATCATCTACCAAAACCTACAAGATAGATTAAAATATTGTGAAATGTTGAAATCAATATAATATGTATAAAATACTTGGATATTTCAATCTAGTTATTACCTGCAATTGGGAAAGGGAATTCATAATTATCCTGTCAAAAATGTAATAACTGTAAATATTTATTATAATGGATCATAGAATATCGCTATTAATAATTCATTATTAAAACAGAATTTAACACATTCGTCTAAATGCTATGAAGAAGAACCAATAAATTCTTAAGGAAACTAGGAAATTAAATAAGATTCACTTAATTATAAATAAAATTATTAGAAACACCAATATAGCGGTCAACACTCCAATGGCTACCCATTGTCTCCGATCTAAAACAAACGGAAAGTAACATCACATGCGTCACTTATAAAAAAAGTAGTCAGAATCAAGAGATTTTATCGTCATTCATTGAACAACGGTAAAATTAAACAAGTCATATATGGCATACTATATAAGAAAAATTAATATTTATATATTTGGCCCTTCTTCAAACAGTAAATATTGTATATTATTTTCAACATGCATTCTTCAACAAACATTTTATAACAACACTATATTTTCTACATTGATACTTTGCACTTAAATATTAAGCTATAAATTTGTTATTAAGATTTAATCTTTTACATATTTTGAAAGATGTTTGCCATATCCATTCAATACTTTAAAAGTGCAAAGAATCAATATTATAAACTAATTTAAATACCTTTTAAAATTATATTTTGAGTTTGAGTTGTTTATACATAACAAGCAGTAATTGTAACATTTATTAAATTACAGAAGCATCAAAATAATAATTTTTATATATATTCATTGTTTAGAAATTGCATAAACGCATGAATAAAAATTATTTTCGCATAAACATATAAAAGCAAAAAATGAGGAAAAAATGACATACCTATAAGACATATTTATAAACATGTTTTAAGTGAAAAAGATCATATTCCATGATTGAGAGATTTTATATTGCTTACTTATATGAGTATTAGAGAAACTGAATGTAATAAACAAAGTAAAGTGCTGAAAATTGGTTTCAACAAAAATTTAATGAAAAAATATATTCATTATTATCTCTCAAACACAGAATTCAATATATAATGAGTTCTTATACATATATAATATTGTTGTAATTATTATTTGAATAGTTTCAGCGGGTAGGAGTTTGTGGTACTTTACAGTAACATGTACAGTATAAATAAAGTCTCAAATTTTATTTATCAGTATGTCTTCACAATTGGTCATTTATGTGAAATAATAAGGTATAATTTTTTCTTTTAATTTTTAAGTACAACTAGAATAAACAATTTCTCTTTTACGTATGAATTCACAACATTATACTATCAACACTCTTCTAACAATGAATAAACGTATCAATTTCTAATTTTCAATTCATTTCATTATGTTTTACTTTCTTAAAATGGAGAGAGAACTTCAGATTATCTGGAGTCATTAAATTTTATAGTACTTATGAACAATCTCATTCGCATTGAGAAACAATCAATCAACAATCACCATACGTACAAATAATTGTTTTCACATTTTTCTCTTCTTTCTCTTCAACACTTTTCTTTCAAACTTTATATTTTCATTTACATTCATTACACACATAAACTGACTGGTACTTTCACAATATGGTATGAATATTTCACACTACCAGGTCCTAAACTATTTTTGTCTACGCTTTAATCAATATATTAATATCACATGTTGTGTACATTGGAAGTAGAAGTATCAGAAGTTTTCAAATTTATTGAAAATGTTTTTCTAATAGTATATATGTATATATGTATACTATATATATTTGTCTATAAATTTATGACATTAAAATTTTCTCAGGCACAAATTACTTGTGCTACCTTTTCCTGCTTTGATACATGTTTTGAAATATTTGGCAATACGTTAACATTTCTCTATTCATCTAAACTACTTTTTTAAATTCCTATATACTGAGGTATTTATATACAATTTGTTTATTTATTTATATTTTGTTGATATATGTTAACTTTCTTTAATTTTCTGATGTTGCTATTGAATTTTATGCTACCATTTAGTGCCTATCGTGCTATGTAAATAAATACTTGAACTGTATTGTTTTAAAATTAACTATTGTTCTGAAATTACAACTGGTCCATTTTAATACTACACTTTTAGAGAGCATTTACTAAATTTAAATATATATAACTTTTTTAAAAACTATAAATTTATATACTAATTATTTTATATACATAGATTTTCAACAACTGTTTACATTAAAAAATTAATCTTTGTTTTTGATTATTTTTGTTATGATAAGAATAAAAGTTAACACAACATTTATAAGATCTTATGTTTGAATATATTGTGTAAGAAAAGCATGAAGATTATGGAAAGATGAGTATTAAAATATAAATTTGATATGATAAAATATGAGTATTAAAATATAAATTTTTCAATTTTTCCTTTTATATTATTATAATAAAAATGATGAATAAAATAACAGAAAGATCTTTTATAATTTAAGTGGGAGTTCCTACTAAGTATCAATTTTTACTTTTATTTCATGTTTATAACATGTTTTAACTTATTATTATCGTTTTACTAAAACTTTAATCATTTGATAAATAATAAATAATTTGTCAATTTCATACTTAATATAATAATAAAAAACTAAAGAAATTAAAATGGTTATTTCATTATATGAAATATATGAATTATAAATGCTATTTATTTTATTAATTTTTTGCTTTAAAAGTAACTTCAATTTAATGAGACTTCTACTCTCCAATAAATTTCTCGTTCTAAATAATCATATAGCAGTATAATTCTATATATATTTGATAGAAAAATCAAATCATTAAAAATAAGTGCAACAGTGCTAAAAATTAGCTTAAATTAATGAAGAGAATGAATAGGAAATGACTTATTCATGGATAATCACAATATGCAATGTTATTGTAAAGACAAAATGAATTATTAAATTCATTACACAATTCCATAATTTTTCAGTAAATGTTTAAAATTATTAATTTTGTATCACATAAAAATTAGGTATCAATAACAAAGCCAAATGTTGTAAATAAATTTGAACAAAAGAAAATGCTCAAGCAAAAAGAATACATGGTTTATAAATATTACTGAATAATTATGGTAAAATTATAATAAAAATATCTATTTAATCTCCAGAACATAAGAAACAATTAGTTATTGTATTTGATAAGGATGATAGAGAAGAAGGTTTAGAGGCAAGATCAGAAACACTAGATGTTGCAGTAGTAGGAGCAGGAATGTAATTATTATAATTACCATTACTCATATGAAGAACTTTGGCCATTTTTTTCATTGTTGCATCAAGTTTAGAATCAGTCACCTCTAGCTCATTACCGAATTCATCTAGCATACTGAAACAATTGAAAACATATATTCAAAAACCAACTAAAAAGTAATATTATCAGCAACGATAAATTTAAATAGTACTGATTAGAAACTTACACTGCTTGTTCATCTAATTCAGTATTAATTTGTCTGGATACTGTTTTAAGCGTTCCAATGCTTTCACCTATCATGTCTAATTGTTCATCTTGTTGCCTCATCATGTCATTTTGTTGTTGTAACGTGTCTCCCAAAAATTGCCTATTTGGACTATCAATTTCATTTTCCAATTTACTGTACTTTGTTGTACCATGATTGACAGGAACTCGAGCAGGACTGTTATCTAAGAGTGGCTGCGATAAAAAACAAAATATGAATATACAAATTGTTAAATTAAAAATATAGCTCATATATATTAGCTATAAATATGTACACATTGATGTAAAGATATTTAATAATCGTTTTTGTACTACATGTAAATTATACCAATGTAGTACAAAAATCTTATCTTATGAATTACACTCATGATATCAAATATTGATTTACCGCATAAACCATTTTCTATTTTCAGTAATTTCGATTGCTAGTATCTTATTTGTAAAGCAATAGAAAAGTTGTAGCGTTAAGAAACAAACAAGCAAATTTAATAATCACTATCAACATTATCGGTGAATTTGACAACTTCATATAGGTGTCGCAATGTATACGATAGTAATTTGCGAGCGAAATTTAAACGTATAAAAGAAAATACATTTGTATGAATTATTTTCAATTCCATCTATGAAGTTAATATATTGTATTACAAACTCTAAATATAAAATATAATAATATAAATTATTTTTATTTGAACAAATGATAAACATAATTATAATTATGTATATTATATAATTATAAAATATAATAAGCACATGTATGTATGTCTTATATTTTTCGTGATGTTTTTTAAACTATAATTGGTACTTTCATTGAATGCTCCTAAACAATTAAGACGATAATAGATGACAAAAACTATAAAGATAATCAAATATATATAAATAGTATATAAATCCGACAAACCTGTCTGGCTGTATTATCGCGATCTCGACCCCTACTTAAATTCATTTTATCCTTCATAGTCTGCAACAAATTAGTAATATGATCGATATATATATATATATAGAGAGAGAGAGAGTTTGGCCGAATAATATTTAAAAGCCTGCATGACATGATTTCTTGTGGAAAAATAAGAAAAAAGTATAAAATAAAATATTTTCATTCTCAACATAGTTTTCGAGGAAATCGAGTTTGAGAATTTATCAAGTATACTTAAGTAGTGTTAATTCCGGATTGGACAAGTTTAAAATAATCGTTTCATGTGTGAAAATATAGAATAACATTTTTTCATAAGACGTCTTATTTTCGAGAAAAATAAATTTGATAATTCATCATACGCATGTACTACTACACCGATTTTTAATTAAACATATCCAAACTCTATTTTCTTGGAAACTAAACTTTGAATGGAACAATTTTATTTTACATTTTTTGCTTACTTTCGCATCTAGAATAACATTTCAAATATACAAATTCAAATATACCTAATAAATTTTGAAACTCGATTTTCTCAAAAACTAATCTGAGAATAAAAAAATTGTTTTCTATATCATTTTCTTATTTTTCCACAAGCAGCCATGTCATGCTCGTTTTTACACGTCATTCGGTCGGATCTTGTACATTTTCGAAAATATTAAATTAAGCTACTAATTAATATAAACATTGAATATTATCTAAGAAGTATTACCTTAACTTCTTCTCGCGTTTGTTCGATAAAACTTCGTTGAACCGTTAATTCCTTGTTATCTATCTTAAACTTTGTCGGATTTTTTTCTACAATACGTATAGTCACACATATAGTGCATTAAGGGAAATATAGCATATGGATACAAAAATTCAAAATTTTAAAAAGAACATTTTGCAATTAATTTTATATAAATTTCAATAAATAAATGACGATCTAAAAAAAAAAATGCACATGTTATCTATTTAAGTACACCATTCTAGTATTAAACTTTAATACTGAAAGAATTAATATCATATATTTCGTAATGTATAGATGTATATCAAAGGATATAGATCGTGTCTTCTAGATCATCGAGATCCCATTCTATCGAGCGTAAGGCTTTTCGTAATTCGGTAGTAGTCCACTCCAATTCGTCACGTGAGATTGGGATTCCCCCACTCACGGTAGAGCTCGTGACAATAACATCTTGCAATTCCGTCCAGCGCCCGTATAAACCGCGGTTTTTATTTAAGGCCTTGCAAACTTCGCTACAAAACAAATAAGCGATATTATTCATATTATAAATTAAAAAATTATAATGAGTATATTAATTAAATATTATATTAGTAGTATAAATAAATTATACATTAAAATATAAGAATATATAATATAGAATAATATAATACATGTAAATAAATAACACAAACTATTATTGTTTGTAAGAAATAAAATGAATAAAATTATTTCATATTTAAGAAGGAAACGATAAATTCTTGCACTGCAACGTCGTTAATAATTAATAGTTGATCACAAATATGTTATATAAATATAAGCACTTTGACTTAACAAGTGTTATGTAATCGTAACAAGTACTTTAAATATCAGGAAATTTGTTTTTGATACTTAACAAACTAATACAATTTTGTACATGTGAAATTTTAATTAGTTGTAATAAATATACAACAAAGTTTCTTTCTAATAGTTCATATCTAGTAATAAATAGTAGTATTTATTAAATATAAAAATAAAATAATTTGGGAAATGAGTTATAGGTAATATCAAATAAAAAGTCTTTTTTGATAAGAAATATCAATCGATTATACATTGTCACTTTATGTTTGTTGTGTCTATTAAATGCGCATTAAAATATGAAAACATTGTATAAAAATAATTCAATTATTTTTCAATAAAAATACTAAAAAATAAAAAAAAGTGTCTATTGATACATTTAATAGAATGTTGCAAATTTAATATGCTTTTCTACGCATTATAAAAACATAAAAATGCAATGAATTTAATCTAAAATTATTGCAGAAAAAGATTCAACGCTATTCCCGATAAAAATAACGAGTCAAACGTTGAACAAATTCAGCGAACAAAATAATACATATAAAAAGTTCAGATTAGAGGGAGGTGTTTATAACGTATGTACATGTATATTAAGATAAGATGCAGAATAAATGGATTATCGTAAAACATTCTCAACGAAAGTTATAACAACTAGAAATTATTTCGAAACACCAAAAGTAAAGTTTCTTTGTAATTTCGTTTGCGACTATTCTTAAAGGGTTGATGTATATATACGACATCAATGTCACAAAAGGAGCAACAAAAATTCAAAAGCTTGACAAGTGCATAAACTTCACTGATATTGATATCGATTTTTTTATGGATAATTCTGAAACTTGAAGAATATTCGTTAAAAATTCATACAACAGGGAGATCATTTTTTTACTTACTCCTTGACGACAAAGAACGGATTCTCCAGCGTCATTCCTTCTTTTAATTTAAAGAGGTGGCCTTTCTCGCCGCCTCACGGCACCCACAGAAATACGTATACGCGATTTGTCGATCATCGGTGGAAATTCCAAACGATCTTGACAGAACTATCGATACTCAGATGAACGATGACAATAATCAAAATTGACACTTGCTCGCGCTCTAGTGTTATGATACCACGACGTCGTCGTGTATTGTGACGTCTGCTTTCAGTCTTCCTGCAGACGACTATTTATTCGATTTTAACGTTCGTGCGCAAACACGCCTCTCTAACAGCCACTGTAATATTGATTTCGTGTTGAAACTCCTAAAGTGAAGTTCACAGTCATTCGATAGAGGACTGATTAATAATCGAAGTAGTGATAAAATATGGATGATAAATAGTAAAATTTAATATTTGATTATATTATTTATTTAGTTTCGTAACAATATATAGGAGTTTCATGTTTCTTGTTCATTTAAAAGCGTTTTATTACATGATGATATTTGCTCATCTATATCCACAGATTGAAGCTTGCGCAGACTTGTTTCGCGCTAATTTTTTGAAAATATTGTGTTGTATAAACTTGACATTTGTTGTTATATTTGAATTCAATTTTAGTTTCAGTACAATATGAGATTTATTATAATTTGTTTGTAATTACATAATAAATTGTGCAATTTTAGTTTTTAATTTGTTACAGAAATAAGTTGAGAAAATTGTACATACTATATTTCTAAAGTAACTTGAATTAGCAAAATAAGTGAAAAAAATTGCGTGAATTTCCAACTATAAAATTTTAATACATTAAAGACTATCGTTTTGTTTAGTTAATAATATAAATAATTTTTTTACTATGTATTTATATATGAAACACTTTTAGATAATCACGTATATGTAAGTTTCTTTTTAATTTGTCTATCCTTAGTGATTTATGTTTTTGAGTAGTTGATGTGTCATTTCGCGGCAATCTTTCAAAACCGACAAGTGAAAAGTTGTATTTAAAATTTTGTGAATAAGTGAAAAGTATTGTGTTAAAATCTCTTATCTTTTTGAGGACATGCCATAGAAAAAGATAGTCTGTGATTTTGGAAGACAAAATTTGTGAGTATACATGTATAGAGAGTTCAATTTATTCATAACCTCATTTCTTTTAACTTGTACGCAATATCAAGAGAATCAACACGTATTTAAGCGTTCGCAGTAACAATTTATTTTTCTATATATATTTTTACAGTTCGTAAACATGAAATTAGATTATTAAAATATATTTGTGTTTATACATCTTTATTGACAAGATCTGCAATCATCGGAATATATTCTACAAGAACAAAAAAAATATAATACTTATGAAGCAGATATCAACATGAGAACAGTATTTTTTAAAGATTATATTCTTAAACATTGTTATATTCAACATAAATGCATATATATTACATATTTACTTCTTGTCATAGGATTCCTTGCAGCATGTATAAGGAATTATATCTAAGATATTTTATGTAACTGTTATTTTAAATAAGAAAAATTTCCTTCTAAACAATGTATTTCCGAAAGTATTTTTAAGAATATTTTTCGAAATATTTTTTACTAAAGTTTTACTAACCATTAAATAATGCTTAGTAAAAGTGCATTAAAGAATTTAACAAGATTTAAGATTTGTGTGTGTGTGTGTGTTGTGTGTGTGTATGATTAGTATTCCTGTAAAGAATATTTTTAGGCATTAAATATATATATATATATATATCTAGATTAACACAATATAATATCTTTTACAAAATAAAATTTGTTTATACTTCAAGATATAAATAGTTAACCTTAATAATAATAATATGCAATCAACATAATCCTTCATATTCTTCGTCATCTTCTTCTTCATTTCCTTTGTTTTTCGAAGATGCTGCTTGTGCCTCTTCTTTCTCAATAGTATCTTCAGATGACGTTGTGGTAGTATCTTTAGATTCTTTAATACTCATGTTCTGAAGTGATATAAGTGATATAAATTGAAGAAAATTTTTATAAGTCTTTTTACATGTAGTTTTATTATATAATTATATTATATATATAGTTTTATTAAATAAACAAATTTATTGCTTACTTGAACTTCACTAGTAGTTTCTTCCACCAATTTTGAGGCATTAGGAGATGTATATGATTCTGCTGCATTTGCTCTTACTCCTGGAGGAGGTATTGCATATTGTTGCTGTGGTAGAGGTATACTTCTAGCGAGTTTAGCATATTCAACATCCATGTGTTTAATGAAAGGATTATTTAATGCTGCTCTTGCAGCATCTGCATCTTCATTATCATATGCTTGTAGTAACATTTCTAATGTATTAACCTGATGATAAGTAAGAACAAATGAAGATAAATGTAATGTTTTTAGTTAAAGTCTTAAATTTTTAAATGGTTCAAACCTCAGGAGCTTCACAGTAGTTTCCCCATTCTTTGAAAGCTTTCTCAGCTGCTACCTGATCAGCTCGAGCTAACTGTACTAACACTAATGCTACTGTTAATCTACCAACAGAGGGTGCATGATCTATCTGTTGATGCATTCCAATTTCTCTCCGAATTGCATCTGCTGCTTCATCATACATTTGTAGTTTTACTAATAATCTTGCCACTTTGCTCATGTATTCTGCAGCCTGACGTGGACTATCTTCAGCCTTCATTGAAAAGTACATATTATATGACTTTCAATAACATTATCACTAATTACAAAAGTAAATTATATCTAACCATAACAATATTAGCAGCTCGTTTAAATAATTCTAGTGCTTCTTGTGGTTGAGTGGCCTCTATCATTTTGCCTGCTTTATCAAGTACAGCTGCACCTGCGTCAGGTGACCCATGCATTTGATACAAAGAACAAGCACTATGTGCTAGTTTTGGTGCTTCTGCAAGATTTCCCATTTCTTTGCAAATTAATACAGCATGTTCAATACTCCTACAATTGAATATATTATAGCAAATGATAATATTTCTCATAATATATTATTAAGGATCTAAAGAACTTACTTTGCAGCATGAAACCATCTTTTGTAGAATTAATGTTAAAGAATAAAATTGCTTCTAAATTGTATAAAAGAAACTTAAAATCATACTCTATCCCAATATATATAAAAACTGTATCAATTTAAAAGGATACGATCTATTTTCTTTATAACAATCAGCAGCTTTCATTAAGCATTCTTTACATTGTTGATAAGATTTCGCTATTTTAAAGCAAGTTGCTAAAATAAATAACAGAAAACATGATTATTAATTGTGTGATATTGTTATGTCAATGATTTCTATGTATATATTTTACCTGCACTTGTATATTCGTCGGCCGCAACTTCGAAATCAGGTCTCCATTTTAACAGTGATGTTTTTAAGCTATAACATAGATTTACCGTATTTGAATAAGTGGATCAATAAAAATGAAATTATTTTTACTCTATGAAAAAGTACGTATTATCGATTTCATACAAAAAAAATTGACGAAAGTCAGATTAATTGTTGGCATAATTACTCGCAATTCTGCATTGACAGTATCTTTTATATTGACAATACCTTTTCTCAGCTTGTCGTATATGAGCATTTCCTTCTTCGATTTTTGACATTTTTCTCCGAATGGTGCCTTGTTTCGATTTTCGTTGCAGTTGGTGATTGCAGTGATGAAACTGTCAGTTTCGGAATTAATTTTGGTACCGAATGGCTCTTGTCAAACCACCGTACAGACGACAGATTCTCCGCTTTATACAAACCACGGACTACGGACCACGATACATGCGACATACGACCGTGATACGAACTAAATATTGTTAGACTAGTTTGTCAGTTTCAGGGTTGTTAGTTGCTACTTACTAGATCGAGGGAAAAAAGGGAGAAGATCTAATGGTAGTGGTGAAAGTAGTATAATTAGTGGACTAGTGACGTTGTGACTCATACTGTAGACAAATGGAGGTGGGGAAACGAATAATAATTGTCATTGGACGAAATTCATATCACGTGACACAAGCGAAATAGCTGTAGGGTACCAGTGGAGGTAATGTAACGTCATGTTATCTCTTGTGAGGAATTTTATCTGGCAACTAAACTGTATATGTCATTCTACGATTGTATGTGACAAAATTTTGGGAGCTATTGGAGTCTTACCATTTTCATATCATTTCCAACTTTATCAATACCATGATTGAAAATTATAGCGAAAACATTATTATTTGAAACATTTGTTTACAAAGATTTTTTATCAATATGGTTTTATATTTATAAAATAAAATATACGTGACTGTTATATTTTAATAACTATTATCTTTGGTAAAAATTGATGAAACCTCACACAGCATAGATCATTTTTCTTTTAACGTAACATTCAAATAAATAATACTATATGTGCTTGTAACTTTCGAAATTGCGCCATTTATTTTATATAGATGGCGGTGTGAATTTTAATCTTGACCTGATGTTTGTGTTATACACTACTCCACCACGTACTCATACCACTTGAGAACAGAAGCATGATTGTTAACATTATTTATTTAAATCTAATAGTACAAATGTTGGAAAATTTCATATGCCTGTGACATCTTATCCTTCTTTTCCTTATATGTGTTATTTTCAATATTCATTTTGAATATATGTGCAATTGACACATTGGCGGGAAATAAGAAGAAACTGTGTTTTATTCCGATATAATTTTAGTATAAGTTAATTAAAAGATAACTTGATTGTGGTAACATCTTTAAAACAAGGTAATTTAATTCGTAATTTTTATTGTATTTTATTTAATATTTTTCGTTCATACTGCATCATAACCTTAAAGCATAACGTAGTATATTATAAACAATTAAGATTTTTATCTTTTTTAATATTCTACTACACCCCCCAAAATATTATGTTTATATAGAATATTTAAATAAAAACATCAGATGGCAGAAAGGCTTGAAGATCTTAATTTACCAAATGCAGTTGTAACAAGAATTATAAAAGAAGCATTACCAGAAGGAGTTACAATTGCTAAAGATGCTAGAACTGCAGTGGCAAAAGCATCTTCAATTTTTATATTGTATTTGACATCATCTGCAAACATAATAGCTAAGAAAGGAAATCGTAAAACAATAAGCGGTCAGGATGTTATTCAAGCAATGAATGATATTGAGTTTGAGCAGTTTGTTGACCCACTGCAAGAATCATTAGAGAATTTCCGTAAAGCACAAAAAGAAAAAAAAGATGCAACATCTAAAAAAAAACAACAGAAAAAGGATGAAGATGATATTATAGAAGAGGAGGATGGAGGAAGAGAAGTTATGGTTTTTTGATATGTATTAAGCAAATAAGTTATGATAAAAATAAGTATATATTTTACACAATTATTGTATAAGTCTACCAAACATGTTAAATGTTTCTATTTATTATTCTATAATAAAAGGTAAAATATATTAGTATAAAAAATTGTTAATTCAAATTTCCTTCAAATTTTCTAAAACTTCAAAACAAATTGTCTTTTTTAACGTTTTTTATTCATGACTTTTTAAGCTTAACAATATTTGTTTAAAGAGCATATATACATTGGTAAAATGTCAATATTTTATTAATGAATGCTTTTAAGATACTGCACTTAAGAAATGAGATTTTATAAAAAAGTTTTCTTATATAAATTATCATTTATAAAAGCTTGTTTATTATTTTTGATATTTTTGCATTATTAACTCTCAACCACCATAATAGATTAAAATTATGATTTTCACAGTACTCGTAAGGCTATTGTATGTACAAATATGTCAGTGATGATTTTATATAAAAGTTGACATTTGTAGTCAAGTGTTAATAAATGCAACTCATTCTATTTCTTTATTTTCAAATATTTAAAATATTTTCTTATTTTTATTGTAGATAATGATAAAAAAGTTAGATAATTTTAATCTGTCTTAAATATAATTATTATACATGATCTATATGATGATATTATATCAAACAGTTCATATACATAACTGAATTTTGTTGCCTAAAATTCTATTTCGATAATAATCGTAATTTAACAAAAGACTAAAACTATAACATTAGAGTAAATTACTAACTGGAAGAGATATATAATTAAAAAAAATTTATTGGATAAATTTTATAGCTTTATGAGATATTATTTTTTGTAGATGGAAATATTTAAAGTATTACATACGTATTATATATAATACGTATTATATACGTTATTACATTCTTCCATATAAAATTTTAGATAGTAATTTGTTGATATACTTCTAAATTAATAAACAAATAATATCTAAATGGAAATGCTTACAAAAAATATTCAAATTTTAAGGCTTTACAATGTGAATTTTATGATCTATCACACTTCTACACATTGGACAATTTGACGAAATCATATTTGCACAACCTGAACAGCAACAAAGGTGCCCACATGGTAGAAAAATTACTTCACACTATAAGAAAAATGAAATCATAAAAATTATATTGTGAATTTTATTGCGAAAAATTTTTAAATAGAATAAACATTTTGCTTACTTGTAAATCAAGGCAAATTACACATTCGGCAGTATTGATGCTCTGAGTATCATTGTATTCTTGATAATTAGAACTTGTACAAGCTTCTTCTGATGGTGCAGAAGGTATTATGGGTGTTCTAAATTCGTTGAGTTTTAATTCTGCCAAGTAATTTTCAACTGCAAGTTTTATAGCAGTGCGATCATTTTCACAGTGTATTCCAATCTAGAATATGAAATGTGTTATAACTTGTGAATTGAATGATAACGAATGGTAAAAATGAATTAATACTTCACATACAGCTTTCAATTGTTCATCACTAAGATCTGGAAGTAATGATGGCAAAGAAGCTAGAAATGGCAAACAATGTAATGCACCCGCTATTGCAACATGTCGCACTAACGTTGGCTCTAACATTTCTAATAAACCCTGAGGACGTGTTTCCATTAAAGACTGATATTGCATTAACCAAAATTGACTTTGTCTTCTAGAATTCTTAAAAGATAGAATAATAATTTTATAGAAATTATAATAAGAAAAACAATAACATATAAACCTATACTTACAGTAATACAACGTTGTTGTTCTATGCTATTAATTGTTTCCAGAAGCTGATCTCTTCTGCTTTTCTGCTGTTCTAATAAGTTCATTAGAATAGCACTCAAGGCTACTCTTTTTTCAGCTATTTCATTCTATTTAATAAAATAATAAAATATCTTCATAGTATAGAAATCTAAGTGTATGTAAAAAAAATTAAATAGTTATGAATACTACGTACAAGTTGCTGGTTAATTTCTAATTTTCGCCTCTCTAGTTCAATGTTCGTAAGTGCAGCTAATTGCGATTGTACCAAATTGACTTGTTGCACGATACTCCAACAACGTGCATCGCTACGTTCTAATAGTGCTGCAACAGCAGCCTTTTGCAAAACTTCATCTTGTCTTAATGTGTCAATTAAATCTTGTCTTTTTTCCGCTTGATCTTGCATTATTTGTGCTAAATGATCATTATTCCTTACTTCTCTGAAATATTTATTAAACGTTAAACATATTTTTACTTCTTTGTAAAATATTATTAGTATGTTACTAACAGTGTGAGTAAAGATTGTGCAGCACAATCTCTATATTTACTATGTTCTTCTAACTTTCTAGTTCTGTGAAGTTCTTCTTCAAGTAATTTCTCCATAGAAACTATTAAAATCATATACATAAATATAAGATTACAATTATATAATTAGTTACATATTGTTCTAAATATTTAATACTAACGAAGAGTATCCTTTGTACGGAACATAAATTGTTCTGTATGACAAGAAGATAATAGTTGCATTTCTTCTTGTTTTTCCTTTTCTAATAATTCAGCTTGAGTTTGCCTTTCTTCTTCGCTGTTTCTTAAAAATTCTTTAATAACATTATCTGCTTCTTTTTCAGCTAAAGGAAATTATTGATACGTTAGCAGTTGTAATTTTGAAAAACAATTTTTTTCAATTTCATTAAGAGATACTTCTTTATATTTTTGAATAAAATAAATATAATACAGAAATATTTTATCTATACCATTATAAATATAAGAAAGTAAGCGTGCTCTGTTAGAATCTCTTTCTTGTTGTACTTTTTGTAATTCGTGTTGTAACTGAGTTTGCTGTAAAGCAAGATCTTGCAAAAGCTAGAAATAGAGATATTTTAATGCAATATATTAAAAGCATTAATTGTAAACAAGTAATTCTAATTCTAGTTACCTTCTTTCTGTGTTTTTTTAACATTGTCTGCATCTCCATTTCATATTCTTGTTGTTGCTTGATGTTCTTTTCAACTTCTAATAATGCATTTTGGCGATGCTCCTGCAAGACAAAATAAATCTTCAAATTGCAAATTATTTTTTTTATTTACTAAAATATTATAGAAACAGCTGCTTCAAAATAATCAGAATTAAAAATAAGCAGAATCAAGCATAGTTTAGAAATATTACAATACAAACATATAAATTTTTACTTTTATGAACATATAATAAGTATTTCATAAATAAAAATTAAGTCTCACAATAAACAGTAGCAAATGTGCAAGATATATTTGAAAGCATACTAAAATAAAAGAAGCATCCACATGCCTTCATTTTTTCTAGCTTCTGTAATGCAGCCTAAAAGTAAAAATCAAAACATTTAAGACACGCTGTGTAAGTGCAACATCAAAGTTCATAATCCTACATTATATAATACCTGTACATCATTATTTTTATTCTGATATACCCCTTGCATATCTTCAAAACTTATATTTCTTGATATATCTGTTTCAGAATCAGGCTCTTCTGGTGAATATTTAATGCCACTTTCATTTGCTAGAAATGCTATAATTACTTTTGTGCCTCCATTTAAAATATCTTGAGGTGGATACAATAAGTTTAACCCATCAATATTTAACTCTGCTAATTGTTGTGCATAACCCAAAGATTTAGGAAGTTTATGAAGTTTATTATGACTAATATCTAACATGCTAAGCTGCTTTAAATTTCCCATTGCTTCTGGCAATTGTTTCAATTTGTTTTTTGCCACATTCAAAATGTTTAATTTACTTAAATGTACTATTTCGTTTGGCAGTTTTCGAATATTGTTGTCTTGTAAATAGAGTTCCTGGAATATATACAATTAAAAAATAATTTAGAAATCTCAAATAATTTCATTTATTCGACTTCAATAATAATACCTTGAGAGAAGCAAGACACATTATGTCTGATGGTAAATGAGTAAATTCATTATCACGAATATCTAATACAACGAGTAATGATAAATCGCTTAAGGCACCTCCACCCGAAAGTGAAGTCAGCTTGTTACTATACATCCATAGCACCTTCTTTCTGAATACTCTACACAGTGAATAAATACCAGAGGGTACATGTTTTAAAGCACATTCAGACACATCGAATATTGGTTCTGGGTTTTCTCTAGCCTATTAAATAATAATAACATCCGTGATATAATTAACAATATTTTAGTTAAATATTAAATATTATTAATATTTTGTTCTTATTATTAGAAGAAATTGAACATTTTTCATTATTGAAATAACTAAATCAATATTAAATAAACAAGAAGTATATTAAATTCTAGTGGTTTTCTTATTTGTATGTGTCATTGAAAAATAATAGCATATTAGAAACAATATAATATTATATTATATTAGGATTATCATGTATATATCAAAAGTTAGCTACAGAATCAAGGTTACTTATTATATGAAATGATTAACCTTCATTCATTATGACATACCAGGTATAACTTGTGTTCTAGTCGTGCTTTGTAATCGACATTAACCTTGCTCCCATGCGGTAGAGACATCATTAATCGTATATGTCATGGCAATAAATGAACATTACGAGTGCAGGTCATCCTGCTATTGGTTTCCCTTCAACCACCCACATGTGATTTCGCGTACATACTTTATAAAACGCTAACTGATTTTGTCAATTTGACAGTTGTGTGGTAAAACGCATAAAACAGTAACGTACCTTAATATTTTAAGTCCCTAGAAATATGCAAGATTAGTTAAAAAAAATATATATTTTTCATTGATGTCGTTATTAATTAAATTTTGATTTGTTTATTTTCATCAGAATAGCAGAAAAATATGCGATTTTTATTATCATTAGAAGTGAAGTTGTAGATATTTACGAATTTTATTTTTTACGTGTTTATAAAGATGATTACACGAAAAATATGTTACTGTACAACGATTTAAGTACTTTATTGATTTATATATTATTATATAAAGGAACAAATTATAAATATGGTACAAAACATTCAATACAGGAGTCTAAGAATTAATTTCATTTTAAATGATTAAGATAATTTATCTATACATTTTATTGAGCTATACATTTTCATACAAAGAAACAAGTTATAAATATTATACAAAATAATCAACTTTGTTTTGAGTTTGTGAGTTCTTATGTATTTTAATTCCTATAATAATCAATAGCAGTGACGTGACTTTTTACTATATTTGTAATCGTTAACTTCGCTTCATAAATCTCTTTTTGTCATCTTAATTTATTTCCTGAAACACTGTTGTGTATTTATATATACCAATAAATACTCTAAAAAATAGGCAGTTGATATGCATATACATCTAAGATTCAACAGAACCAATTCAAACATTTTATTTGTTAGATAGGTGAATATCTCTCGTAAATTTACAAGATGTAATTTAATTACACTTTGTTCGATTCGTATCTAAACTCTAAAAATACAGTATATTATCAACTACGAGGTCAGATCGCTATACGATTTTGATCGTCTTGTTTTAACGTGTATCAATGCTACTTTTCTTAGATCCATGTTTTAGATAAAAATAATAAATAGTTAGGCGATTTCATACAAAAGTACTACAACAGTTTATAAAAAAAGAATCTTGCCATCGATGATGCTGTTACAAATTTTGTGAAACTTTTTTCTGTCTTAATCGATATTCCGTTGGTGTAAGCATACCCCTGAAAAATAATTTCTTTCTTAATAAAATTAATTAATTTATTCTAATTACAATAATTCCGTGCACAATGTTTAAAAGAAATCTAGGCCGATACCAGAAATTAATTAAATCATTGTAATTATCTGTGTACAATATTTTAAGCAAACACAAATCAATGCCAAAACATCAAACTATTATTATAATATTATATTTTTAATATTACAGCACGTAGAAGAACATTTTATTTACATTATTTAAAATTGTTCACATTCAAACCTTAAAACCGTATCAAAAGAAACGCAAACGCCTTTGTCGCACATTTTCTTATAAAGATGCCAACATTCTTTCTCTTTATTGGTTTGAAAGTGTGGTTCTGTAGACATAGATTGCACATGTTGAAGAGTTTCCTTTGGAGGTGGTGTGAGTGCAGATTTTACCTGCAACTTTTATAAATTGCTTCTTAATAATTAAAAATAAGTCCATTGTACGTAACGCAATGAAATATTTGCCTTACATTCGCGGTGGAATTATTTATGGATGTATTAATTTGTCGCTCGGGAATCTCCATTTTCTGTGGGATTAACCTCGGCGACTCGTGCATTTTTATTTTTAGAGATGTCGTTTGTCTCTCCATTCCACTGTAAAACAATTTATTCTAATGTATGTTGCTCTGTGACAGACATGACCCATCTTTTTAGGTAATGGTGAAATTATATTAGGAATAATAAATTTATTCACTTTTAAAGAAAAACATCAAGTGTTATTACTTTCGTGGGAAAATGGGAAAGTTATTCACTTCAACCAAAGCGCAAAGATGTTTATAACGTCTTTATTAGGATGAATTTTTATCATTTGGTAAGTACTATGTACTCTAAAAGTTACTATCTACTCTAAAATTAACTTTTTTTGTTTTACCCTGTATAATCAAAGAGTAACTTATCTATTCTATTTCTCCATAAATTTACGAGTACACTTTTTATATATTGCTCGAGATACATTCTTTACACGATTTTCGTAATATTCATCGAAATATATATGTGTATAAGCTAGTGAGAAACTTATTACGAACGTACTTATTACTCAACCCCATAGAAAGATTGTGAAAGGAAGGAAGGAAACAGATATTAAAGTGAAATGTACGTCTGTTGGATATTTTAGCAAACTCATCGAGAAATCTATCGTTCACGTGATTTTGTTACCCTCGAATAAAGAGGAAACGTATTATAAGAACTATTAATACAGCTCGTTCGCTATCCTTTCTATATCGATTATGGTAGGCCTCTTATCGTTCCATTTCTCTCTTTCATCGATATCGTATAAATTCTCAGATGATCGGAATCGTGCCGCGATGTTCAAGCATTGTCGGAATAAAAATTGCTATCGTATCAGATGTCGCGATTAAATTCCCCTCATGAATGCATGTCACAATAAAATTGGGTAAAGAAATATGTCGTTACATATCATTTTCTTGTTACGTAAACTTGACACACTTATATAATATAATAATAATACTTGTTACATTTTTGAAAATTCTTCGTTTCTTGTTTAAAAAACTTTTGTTACATTATCTAATATATTGGATATGCAAAAGCGTGCTGACGATATCGAATATGCAATAATATGCAAAGACTTTTTAATTGCATAGCACGTGTGATAAGATAAGCGAGTATATTCGTGCGATTTATTTTCGTTCTCCTTAAAATATATCCAATTCCTTAGTAATGAGAAAACGAGTCTGATAACGTTCGAAGACGAATACTCGTTATTTCATTAATTGAAAACCTTTTTCCTTGATGAAAGCTATAATCGCGTAAATTATATGTACATGCATGTAAACATATAAAATAAATCATAATTATGAAAAAGAGATAGGTTAAAGAATTTTAGGGAAATTTTAGAACTGCTTGTTGCGATATATCCTTTTACAGATTCAGATATTTTATTAAACTTTGTTCATCGAACCAGGCAATTTTTTAACAAAAAATTTTGTCATATCTGTGATATTTAGCAAATTGCATGTACGTATTTCATTTAAAAAACTATCGACCTAATTTTACACGATACAGTTTATACGATTTGTATTATGCTCTTCGCCAAGGTGCTATTAAAGAATCATGAAATTCTATTTGTTTTTTATACTCACGATCGTGATGGCGTGCTACGAGTTTTTAGTAATTTCCGTTTTTTATCGTGTAGATCACCAATAGGCACGGCCAGGCATCTCTTTTCACGATCAGTCAACGGGACGTCGAGCGGTTCCTCGACGTCGTGAATCAATGCCAGAATAGGCAGAGCTAAACCGCCGGTAACGTCCGTTCTCCAGGACATTGTTTCCTCGCTCGACGAAGTCGTTCCGTTTCCACGTTGTTTAACGATCGCCAGCCTCGGTTGTGTCGTTTTTTTCTCCTCCCCCGACGACAGTTGCTGCTCTTTCGATGAAGCATCCTCGTCGAAGGAATTCTGAAAGGAAACTGAGCAACGACTTCGATTTTGTTGATGATCTCATTCTTGATGATACGAAAATTTTGCAGCTTTCATCTAGTTTAAACACACATGTAAATAATATCTAAGCTATTTTGAAAGAGATCTATATAAAAAGTTTCTATTTATTTTTATTCTGTTTTTAAAGATATTTAAAATATTTCAAATGCTATTTAAACTAGCCGTTTAAGCTAGCATCGAGGCAACGTTAATGTTTAAATACCTGTACATACAGAAGATAGTTTTCTAATTTTATTCGAATAAATCGAAACTATATTTGTTCACGAACGACAATAGTCACGATATGTTCGTAATGATTGTATTTATTTAATCGATTCCATTTGAATAAATTCGTTCGATCGTGTTTTTATTTGGCTACTGCCAAGATTTTCTCGTCTGTTCAATTTAATCAAGGTAATATCGAGCCGAATTTTATAGTCACGATAAGTATGTTTACCAAGTAACCTGATTTAATGGGCTGGTATTCGCAACACTTTGCCGTTTACCGAAAACTGGGCCAAACGATATCTCGTGTCATCGATTCGGTTTTACAGAGACTAAATGAGCTATCCAATATTTTTCCACGAATCGTATTCCATCTCTATTTTTTTCCTTCATGCCGTTTTGTTACCAATCGTCTTTTACCAACTCCACGACGATATATTCCGGTCTTAAAGACGATTGGAAGAAGAAAATTGCGAAAGACTTTAAAACATTTTTATTGCTCAATTTTTTTCGTAATAAAAAATTATATATTACATGTAGAAGAAATATAAAAAATTCCTTTATATTTCAATCTATTTTCTTATTGCTGGTCCAAATGTTCTTCGAACTTCTCTTTCTTCTTCTCACCAAATTTTGATTTTATCTAACCAAATGCGTTATTTATAATATATATCTGTATATATCGTATATTATATATTAAACTATAATATATATATATAGAATTATTGAGTTGGCAACTA